CAACTTTCTTGCTTGCAACAGGATAGGGCCAGGAAAACTGCGAATGTAGGCGAGTAAGGGCGAGAGAAAAGTCCTGCACTGGCTTTCGTTTTGCAGCAGACAGGACTCGAGAAACATCAAGTTCCAACGAAGTCATAAAGAAACCTCAAAATGAAATCGTAAGTTAAGATTCGCCATGAAACGAAAGTAACAGTGATAAAAGGCTTGACGTTTCAAAGTGACCCACCGAGATCCCTTATGCAATACTCCTCTAGTAGATGAACAGCGTGTCCATCAAGGATAGTATTCATCTTCTCAGCTATCGGATTTACCTGAGTTGGAGAAGGCGGTGCCATATCATTAGACACAGCCTAAATAGTCTTGTATACGAAAAGTACCAAAACCTCAACAAATCAAGAAGCGAGCAACAAACCCGTGCCGCAGTTCGTTTTCCAGTGCTTCCAGCTGAATCCTTCCTAGTGGCGTCGCGAGAGTCTGCATGTGAGTGCCGGACTTTCGAAACTCTTCCAGCTACAAAATGAGATTTCTTTCGTAGTTGAGAAGAAAAGAAAAATGAAAAGAAACACTGGTCTGAACAGCAAGAAGCAATAGAAAAACTATAAGCCGAAGTTACCCGCTTGGAATCGTGCAAAGACAAGATCATCCGCTTCAGCTACGCTGTTGATTGAGGCCGCGTGTCGACGGGATGACGTTTTAGAAGGAGGTGGGGTTCTAAACAACATCAACTAGTATATTTGCAGATAAGGTTTTGCTATACCTTGCAGGGCTATCCATGTCTTCCGATCCTATCGCTCGCGTGAAACGAACCATGTCCTTTGCAATGCTCCATTCACCAGCAGAAAGCGCCTCTCTTAAAAGCCGTAGTGCCTGCTGAAAGGATCGGAGGATTTGAGAGATAATGTCAAAAACAGAACTTGACGCACCTCTTGGCTTGTCTGCGCACTTTCAATACTTTGCAGGACGATCAAATAGCTAGCCGCTGTATGCAACTGACCGTCGCGTATGCACACCTTTAGACATACGTCATTTATTAGAATTTTCAAACCAGATTTTCACGATAAAATTACCTCAAAGAGATCATTTGGTGAACCAGTGACTGAGAACAGTGAGGACCACAACGCTAATTCGGTTTTTCGAGCACAGTGAGCAACAGTGCGCAGAAACTCGGGAAATTCTTGGATAAATGCAACGCATCTGGGTAGTAGAGGATCTGTAATAATACAACAGATCATAACAGAAAAGAACTGCAGAAGGTGTACTGTTGTACCAGGTATAGGTTCACTACTAGTCGCTTCTTCTTCTAGTACCCCATGAAGAAGCAATTCGAGAGAATGCGCGAAGTGTGGCAGATCACGACAAGCAGCAGCTACTTCCAACGCAAATACGCCTAGATTTCTCTTGAGTAGCTGTCGTAGAATGTGATGGGCGAACACCT